GTACAACATCTTAGGAAACACTGCTTGGAATGGGCATTTAAATTAATGGTTAAAAGGAAATCATAATGTACAACTCTCAACATTTTTAGCAATGAGATTAGCATGAGTGATATGCTTTAATAGCAAATCAGAAATGGGCCAGGTGGGGGAGTCTGATGCTGAAAACCAAGGCCCACATAGGCACTTTATTTTTACTAAGCACTTACTCAGTGAAGCCCTTAATCACCTTTAAGGAGCAAAAGCATAACTTACTCAGTGGAGCCCTTAATCACCTTTAAGGAGCAAAAGCATAATGTAGTCCAACCCAGGAAAGTACTCACTTACCCTTGGATAATTTCTAACACCATTTCAAACATTACTCCCTACAAGATTGCTGTAAGTCTGGGGCTTAAAACGTAACTGTTCTCTATCTGTTGTCTCTAAACAAATCCTGTAAGCATTTCAAATGAAGTACTCAGAGATTAAGTCAGCTAAATACACCTTTCAATTCTCATCAGCCTCTTGTTACAAACCATTTCTTTTACCAGTATTTCATAGATTAACTAACCCATAATGAATACCTATGGATCCATTTAGGAAAATACATTCTATGTGCCATCTGCATCATTCATTTGCACTGTCAGTCTATTGATGAGAATCTATCCCAGATGTACTGATTGAGAGTCTCTGGAGGTTGTGTCCAAGATTCTGCAGTTAGAGACTTCTTCAGGTTTTTCTTATGCATGTCAAATGCAAGAACAATCACTTGAAATGTGCAACTGAGCCCCAGCTTAGTTAGTTAGTGGCCAGCTAATGATTAAACCGAGATTTTCTTGTGTGTAGCACCACTAAGTCTCCCAGCCTCTGATGAGAGGCTCTGTGCATGCTTCAGAGCTCCAGCAGGAAGCTTACAACTCTACTTTACCATAGCTTCTGCTTATGTAGAATCTCAAGGATAACCACAGGTAAGAAATTCAGACTTTTGGGATGGGGCATAGTAACAAACACCTACAATCCTGGCTGTACAGGAGGCAGAGGGACAACTGCAATCTGAGGCCAGCCCTGGGCAAAATTGTGAGACCCTTTCTGAAAAATGACTGAATCAAAAAAAAAAAAAGAAGGAAAGAAAGAAAAAAGAAGTTCAGACTTTCTCAGGTCTAACTGAGCATGCACACACTCTAGCATGTGCACAGCCCTGCACATGTACATAGCCTGCTATATTCTCAAGAATTTGTTGGACCTTTTCCACACCTTTTACGGACCTGTCATCTCTCAAATTTTCCTTTCAACTATTGCTCATCCCAACTTTTATCTCCACTCCAGGCACTGTGAGGTTAAATTATTGCTGCTCATTGTTTTTTGATAGATACTCTAGTGAGAATGCTATTTGCAAAGAGTAAACTATGAGTCAGGCCCCAAAGACAAGCCCTGTGATTGGAGATTTCCAGGGAATTGGCAGGAAGGGCCTACCTATCTATTATCTAGATATTTGGCCTTTTTGGTTGAACATCACTCCCTGGCTGCCCCCTCTAGTGCCAGGCTGCTATTTATTGTGGTTATCAGGATTGTCAGGCTGCTTCTTTACAAGACTACCATGAACCTGGGGAAAAGGGAATGGAAATGAGGCAGATTAAAATGCCATGAAGTTTATTGTTCTTACTAACATTCAACTGTTTTTCTTAAGCACTGCACAAATTTTTACAAGCTTTGATCAATTGCTGTGTTCTCCCACTAAAATAATATTTTAAATATCTAAATAAATGGAAATATGTATTATAGCCATTAATTGAAAGATTCAATATTATTAAACTCTCAGTTCTCCTCAAATTCATCTATAAACTCCATGAAGTTCTAACCATAATACTACAAGCTTCTAAAACATAAACTAGCGAGCTTATACTAAAATTTACATGGAAACACAAAGAACCTAAAATATCCAAAATAATCTTTTTTTTTTTCAGGATTTCACATGGTTTTATTACAAAACAAGCAACAAAACAGCTTTAGAAAATTATTTTTTGCTACATGCCAATTAGGAGATCACATAAACTGAAAAGCATTAAGTTTTCATGCACTCCCCTCAGGGCTTTAAGTGAGAGCATTTTCACAGCCAACCCTACTGGGTTCAAAACACAACTGTCATCCCACACCTTCATAAGCAGGCAGGGGGGACAAACTGTGTTTTGCCAAACATTTGCTTTATTCAAACTCAACCTAACACCAGTGACTGTAATTGACTTGGCAGGCAATAACACAAAGAGAAAAGGGGACTGAAGGAAAAGAAGGATATATATAAGAGAGAGAGAGAGACAAGACCACCTGAAACACTGGCACACACAACAGGTCAAGACCATTTCAGAAGCCTCATGGGAATAGACAACTATTCCCATGGTTCGTATTTCACAAGGAAAATGCACTATGTCTTTTGGTTCCTTTAAAATAACTACTCAGAATTTTTCCAAGCTTATACTTGATCACTAACCTCTACTGCATCCCATTCTAGCTTCAGTCACGTGTGCACCATCTTTGGCTCACATGAAAACACTGTGGAAGGCCTGGCATGGTGCCACATACCTGTAATCCCAGTACTCAGGAGGCTGAGGCAAGACCAGCCTGGATTATACAGAGAGATTCTATCTCATATACAAAACAAAACAAAGCAAGGACACAAAAAAAGACCGTGATGTAAAATTAGCCAGAAAGTAAGAAATATAGACAGAAAAGGAATTCTGAAATAAGATTTGGGAATGTATTCACATTTAGGCTTCATGGAAGATATTTTTCTGATATTGGAATTACATTAGCAAGTGTTTGCCAGTTAGAGTCCTCAAAAAGAAAGAAAGTCCTTGTTTTCCCTTTATTAAGCTACTACAAATTGGATTATGTTTAATTTAACACACTCTCAAATAGACCTAACTGGATATAAACGTATCAGCTTATTATAATAGCCAGTGAATTTACAAGTAGCAATGTAGCAGAGTTTATTTTAAAAAGAGAGAAATAAGTAGATTGTGACAATTTAAACACCAAAAGTTGTGACATCATTTCCATGAGTCAGGGGATGTTTCCAGGCACTGCAAAAGTTCCTTATTTTCCTTAGTTCCACATCTCACACTATGTACTTCTGTTGACTAGGCAAAGAATTTTCTTGAGAAAAATCTGAAGGTAAAACCAGACACAAAGGGTTTAGGAATTTTGAATAGCTTTTTAAAATCATGCTACATGAAGTTGGTTGTGACCATGATCACTCGTAAATAAGTAATTCCCAAACCCAAAATGTCTGAGAACAAAAGTACACAAGAGTTTATTTTTAAAGAGGAGGTGGGGGTGGGGAACCTGGGACCACAATGCTAAACTTAAGTGAGAGACAGCCACAATGGAGTGACCAGGGCAAATTCTCACCATGACCCAGGCTTCAGAGTGACTACATTTCCAGAAAGAAACATAGTCCCCCTCAAGCCACTGAAGAATGTCACAAGAGCTTTCTCTCCAGCATTAAATGTGGGCACAGGAGGGTGGGGATTTACTTAGGTCACTAAGTAAATTAGGTTACTAATTTCTAATTAAAATAAAATTACTTGATCTAGCTCGTAAAAGTTACAAATGGAGATGAGCACTATTTGCTTTCCCTTTAAGAATCCCCTACAAGTTTCTGGTAGCAATTTGTCACAGGCATTGGAGAGACATATGCTCCCAAGTGCACCGGAAATAGGACCTGTCTATTGGAAGGAGGCACACCCTAAAACTGGGCGGAACACTCAATTTTCTAGGCTCTTTTGAAACCTGGGAAATCTCAAGCCAGCAACTTGGAACCTCTAACACTATCTATCTATATAGATAGATAGATAGATAGATAGGTAGATAGATAGATATAGATATAGATATAGATATAGATATAGATATAGATACTTCCACTAAAGTACAAGGAACCTCCTCAGATTACAGGGTTTCATCATGCAAGTGCTCATGGCTTTGTCCAAAGGGCAACACAAGGATAAAAAAGTAACAAATCAATCAGGGTACGCAAGACACAGCACTTATAATTAGACAAATGTTGACCCATTGGAAAGGAGCTCTGAGGCAAAGATTCAAGATAGTCTGCCTTTGCCCAAACAGAACTTTTCTCCTTTCTGGAAAACATGAATCAAAAAAGCTAAGCAGGATGACTATCACCCATCTCTTCTTGGCACCTGCTTTCAAGCTAATCTGAACCTCTAACACAGAGCTAGATGTATTCCACACATTACACCCTCACCCCTCACCCATTCAAATAACACTGTTCTGCTCTCCACACTCCTAACACCTAACACTGATACACGCATCCTTGGGCCTGATCCAGAAACTAGACTGTTGGATCTGCCACTCTTATCTATAGCATTTGGGGGTCACAGAGCATCAAGAGGAAGAGAGTAATTCCCACAGCTGGCTGGTGCACCTCACAAGGGATTGCCATCTTCCCCAGAAGGTTCTCTAGGAATCTACCCTGGCTGATATTCCCAGCACTGCCTCTCAGGGTGGATCCTATTCAAGCTAGACCTCATCTTCCCCATCTCATTATCTTTCAGCTGGGTTAATACCACCTTGCTTCTTCCCCCAACGCCAGCCAGTAAAGAGAAATGGGATAAAACCAGGTGACCGGCCTAAGATCCTGAGCCTAGACTGAAAATGAAATGAAGAAACTAAACAAGGACAAGGAAATAAAACTTGGTTGGGGTAAAATAGAACTCCCAACCTCCTCAGAAGAGGAGGCACAAAAAATAACCCCTACCAGGAAGACCTTGGGAAAGTCAACAAGAGGCAAGGAATGCTCTCTCCACTGGTACGCCTATGAGTCTAACCTAATGATTTTCCTAAATTAAATACACTGCCTTGATAATACAAAAAAAAAACCAAAAAGCCAGCTGGATGGACTCCTCCCACAGGCTTCCTTCAGGACATGAGGGCCATGAAGACCTCTGAATGTCCTCCAACAAACAAGGCAGAGAAACTGAGTCACAGCCCTCTTTCCCTCCCTTCCTCCTGTGGCCATGCTTCATCACACATCAGAGGTCCGTATGTTCTCATCGTCAAGGCTGAACACAAATGGTTTCTCCTTCAGGTGCTGGGGCTCTGATCTGTGCCTCATCCGGGAGCTGGGCAGCAGCCCAGCAGTACTGCTCTCCCCAAATCGAGGCAGGAACAATGAGTCCTCCAGAGCTTCCTCAGCTGGAACCAGCTTTTCCCCGGCCTTGGGGACAGGTGTCCAGGGTTGCCAGGAGGAGACCACAGAGGGGGCCTTGCAGAGGGCTTTCTTTTCTTCCATAGGTGGCCTCCCTCTACACGAGACAGAAATAGGCCCACTTGGGAGGCTGGAGCTTCCAGGCCTGGTCAAAGAAATGGATCTGGAAAAGGACATTTCTCTGGGGTGGCACTTGAGAGCCTGGACAGCTGCCCCAATCTCCTTGATCCAGCTGTGCATGTCTTCAGGGCTGTCCGCCTGTACGTAGAACGTCCTGGAGCTGGTTATTATTTCAAACGCGTTGTCCCTCATTAAGAGATCACCAGACTTGACCAGACACTCATGGGTCTTGAGAACATCCTTGAGAAATATAGTGCGTCGGGGTTCTCGGTCCTGTTCACACTTGAAGTAGCAGATGGTAAAGTCATCAAGTGCAAAGAAGCGACATTTCCAGCTCTTCCTCACATTCCCTTGCTTCACACAGTAGCCGCTCTTAATGAGGGGGGGTCCGGTGGAAGCACGGCAGCCTGACGTGGGGATGTAACTTTGAGACCTTCGGAGGATGGCATGGGATCCTGGCTCACTCCCCTCCTGCCCATCCCCGCCGTTCTGGCTGATGGGTGTGTGCACCACCACTCCTCCGATGATCTCTGTCTTGTAGGCCACCTGCAGCTTCTTCTCTAGGGCCAGAGGAGCTGGTAGGCTTTTGAGAATTTCAGTAGCCAGGGGTAGGGTCCCAGCTTTGGGTACAGTGATCTTGCTGGCTTGGTTCAGGGCTTCAACCCAGTCCTTCAGATCTTTCTGGTCATTGGCTTGAAGAAAATACCTCTGAGACAGGGCATTGATAACAAAGCAAAATGGAGTTTTGAGTTTCTGCTTTGGGGTAGCTATGCTCACCTTCGAGATGTAGGTTAGCTGCAGGGATCCAACAGCTCCTGCCCCAACTGCCAGGTTCTGGGGGTTGTCCATGTACCAGAGAAGGCAGTTGGCCTGGGTGTCCAGAATAAAGTACCTCCGCAGGAACT